AGTTGGCCAAAACTTAGGAGCACACTCTTTGTACAGGTGCACTTCTAACCATTTTTCATGAGCATTAATGCAAGCTTGTATTATTATTTCTATTTTGCAGATGCAAAAACCGAGGCACAGAGAAGTTAAGGTCACACCGGGATTCAAACTTACTCTGGTTCCAGGTGCCACACTCTTACCCACTGTGATATACTGCCTCTTATGTAGTTGTGAGATGTACAAGGTCTGGCCCTTGCAGAGCAATATAACTAGCAGCTACAGACAGTGCTAGATAGGAGCAGCATTGGGGATTGTGGAAGCATAGAGAAATAGGATTTAACAAAGCCTCAGGAGTCAGAGAAGAATGAAGAGCCAGAAGAGGTCAGTGGGGTTGAGGAAAGAAAGCAATATTTCTAGGCAGAGAGGCTAGCACTTAGAAATGCCTGAGGTGATAAACTAATGAGGTTTTGGAAGCGCTCAGAAGTTCAATAGGGGAAACAGTGAGACTTCTGGTTTCTGTTAATGATGGCCTAAGCTATTGTGTGTGTGTGTGTGTGTGTGTGTGTGTGTGAATCCTCCTGCTGCAAGAAGCCAAAACTTCTGGATAAAATATAAGCAAAAAAATTTCTGAAAGCATTCAAGAACTGACAAATTAGTAAAAATGTTATCAGGTCAAAAGAGAAGATAAATAAGAATTCGGGGAGAAATGGAGCATAGATCAAACCACATTTGACCTAACGGCAAACCACATTTGATTCTAGCCAATCAGACCTTACCCTATGTTGAATGGGACAGAATCAAAACCCAGAGCCCACATACAATGAATAGACTGTTAGAAGATGTTTCCCACAAAAAGCTGGTATGCCAAAGGGCTATCGTTTTCAGAGTAAAAGAGGTGATCAGAAATGAGATCCTCCCAGGGATTTGCAGCCTGGGAGCTCAGGAGAATTCAAGCCTTGAACCTGGCTTGAGATGATCCTGCACTATTGATGCCTCCAGAAGTATGATAGAAGTAAATGAAATTACTTTTTGGAGGAAGGGACTTTTTTTTATCTCCTCTCCAGTTACTTTCACAGTTTTTTCCCTGCAAAGATACAATTATTTTTTTAAAGCTCACCAGAAAAGTTACTGTAGGTGAGAACCAACAAGAATAACAAACTCATTCTCAAAGACTTAGATACTTGAATTATAAGATACTATAAAATGTACTATTCTCAAAGAAATGATAAACTTGAAAATAGAGGGAACAAGAAATGGCAGCAAGCAAAATGGAAATTTTTTAAAAGACCAACCAAAACTTTTAGAAATGAGAAATACAGTAACTATAAAGCCATCAGTGGATGGCTTTAACAGAAGCTTCAGGGAGAATTAGTGAACTGGAAGATAGAAATTATCCATGCACACAAATTTAACAAATGAAATGGGCCAATTTCTCAAAAGCCATAAACTACCAAAATTCACCTGATATGAAATAGATAATCTAAATAGTCCTGTAATTATTTAAGAAACTGAATTTCTAATTGGAAAAGCTTCCAGGGGTGCCTGGGTGGCACAGTTGGTTAAACGTCACACTCTTGATTTTGGCTCAGGTCGTGCTCAGCGTGGAGTCGGCTTCAGATTCTCTCTCCCTCTCCCTCTGCCCCTCCCACTTGTGCTCTCTTTTTCTTTCTAAAATAATTAAAAATAAAAAGCTTTTCCAAAAAGAAGTGTCTAGGCCCAGATGGTGATGGTTTCACTGAAGAAGCCTACCAAATTTTAAGAATAATTAGCACCATTCTGTACCATCTCTGCCAGAAATTAGAATATCAGGCAGTACCTTCTTAACTCATTTTATGAGGGCAGTATTACTTTGGTATCAAGGCCAAATAGGACAGTACAGGAAAAAAAAAAAGGGTAAGGAAAAGGAGGAGAAGGAGAAGAGGAAGAAGAAACAACAACAAAAACCCTACAGACCAATATCCCAGAAATTTAGCCACAAAAATTCCGGATATTAGCAAATTGAATCCAGCATATATAAAAAGAATTAGACAACATGACCAAGTGAGTTTTATTCCAGATATGCAAGACTGGTTTAACATATGGAAATAAATCTATATAATCCACTATCCCAAGAGGCTAGAGAAAAAATGATCATGTCCATTGGTGTAGAAAAAAGCATTTGACAAAATTCAATATCCATTCATGATAAAAAACCATCAGTAAACCAAAAGTAGAGGGGGAGCTTCCTCAATAAAGAGCGTCTACAAAAATCCTACAGCTAATGTACTTAATGGTGAAAGACTGAATACTTTCCTTCTAAGATAGGGAAGGAGTCAAGGATGTCTACTGTGACCACTCTTATTCAATGTAGAACTGGAAGGCCTACCCAGCACAGTAAGGCAAGAAAAAGAAATAAAAAGCATATAGATTGGAAAGCGGGGGGGAACCCAACAACCTTATTTGCAGATGAAATGATTGTCTATGTAAAAAATCCCAAGGAATCTGCAGTAAAACCCTTCTAGAATTAACAAGGGACCTCAACAAGATTTCAGGTTACAAGATCAACACACAAGAGAAACTATCCAGAATGCAGCAGAAAGACAAAAAGATGGGAAACAGTGGGTAAATAAAGGATTATTATGTTCAATTTGAGTTCCATAAGGAGAGAGGAAAATGAGGCAGAGGAATATCTGAAGAAAGAGAGCTGAAAATTTTTCAGAACTAGTGGAAGATACCAATCTACAGATTGTTGAAACCCAAAGACTTCAAGCAAGGTAGAAAAAAAAATGAAGTATGAAAAAAAAAATCCAGTTCATGATAGTAGAACTGCAGAACCCTGAAAGATGGAGAGCAGAGGCTGGAGAAGTAAGCAAGAGCCAAATGATGCTGGACTTAATGATAAAAACGACTATTTGTATAATCCTTATTACTTGCCAAGCCCCTACGTGAAGTGATTTACTCAGGGCAGATGTACGGGATAAGTACTATTATTACTTCCATTTTACAGATGAGGAAGTTGAGACCAGTGAAATTTAGTTACTTGCGGAAAATGGCACGGCGTAGCAATGGTAGAGGTAGGATTTTGAACAAAGTAGTTCTGGCTTCGGTTTGTGACCTTAACTGCTACACAAACTTGTCTCTCTAAAGGGCAATGGGAAGCCATCGAAAGGTTTTAACCAGGGGAGTGACACCACATTTGCTTTCCAAACACCAACCATCCTGGAACCACTGTGGATAAGGATCAAATAGAGCTAAGGGTGGAAAGAGGCGGCGTGGGAATAATGGAGCCAAAAGTAGGGAGGGCCTGGACGAAGGGGAGGTGGCAGACAAAAGCGAGTGGACTGAGGGCTCTTCCGGAGGCGAGTCCTCAGGTTTTGTGGGGGAGAGGAGAGGAGAGCGACGATGATATTCACGTTTCTGACTCGGGCAATTCGGCGGACAGTGCAAGTCATTCACTGAGGTGACTTGGGAGGAGTCTGGTTTTGGACAAGGTGAATTTGGGGTGTCTGTGACGCACAGCCGGCCGCGGAGGGGCCAAGGGCTGCCAGGACCCAGAGCGGAGCCCTTCACCGGCCCGTCCAGGCGGGGCGCTCGCGAGCCCGAGGATCCCGAGTGCGGCGCGGCGCGCGCCTCCGGAAGCCGCGCGCGCAGGCGCAGTGCG